GAACAAGACCCTCCTTCTCATGAAGAACAAGACCCTCCTTCTCATGCAGAACAAGGCCCTCCTTCTCCTGTAGAACAAGTCCCTCCTTCTCATGCAGAACAAGACCCTCCTTCTCCTGCGGAACAAGACCCTCCTTCTCCTGTAGAACAAGTCCCTCCTTCTCAAGCAGAACAAGACCCTCCTTCTTCTGCGGAACAAGACCCTCCTTCTCCTGTAGAACAAGACCCTCCTTCTCAAGCAGAACAAGTCCCTCCTTCTCAAGCAGAACAAGACCCTCCTTCTCCTGCAGAACAAGACCCTCCTTCTCCTGTAGAACAAGTCCCTCCTTCTCATGCAGAACAAGACCCTCCTTCTCCTGCGGAACAAGACCCTCCTTCTCATGCAGAACAAGACCCTCCTTCTCATGCAGAAAAAGACCCTCCTTCTCCTGTAGAACAAGTCCCTCCTTCTCAAGCAGAACAAGGCCCTCCTTTTTCTGTAGAACAAGTCCCTCCTTCTCAAGCAGAACAAGGCCCTCCTTCTCCTGTAGAACAAGTCCCTCCTTCTCATGCAGAACAAGACCCTCCTTCTCCTGCGGAACAAGACCCTCCTTCTCCTGTAGAACAAGACCCTCCTTCTCAAGCAGAACAAGACCCTCCTTCTCATGCAGAACAAGACCCTCCTTCTCCTGTAGAACAAGTCCCTCCTTCTCATGCAGAACAAGACCCTCCTTCTCCTGCGGAACAAGACCCTCCTTCTCATGCAGAACAAGACCCTCCTTCTCATGCAGAACAAGGCCCTCCTTCTCCTGTAGAACAAGTCCCTCCTTCTCATGCAGAACAAGACCCTCCTTCTCCTGCGGAACAAGATCCTCCTTCTCCTGCGGAACAAGACCCTCCTTCTCCTGTAGAACAAGTCCCTCCTTCTCCAGTTTCACCAAGTTCTGATTGTGCAAATGGAGGAGAGACAGTTCGGGTGACCAACGAAACACTTTCATGCACTCAAAACGATGCCAATGATAAGCTCAACGATAATGCTCAAAATTTTAGGATTTTTGAAGCTACTGCTGCCATTGCCAAGTTACATGAGATGCCTTGTGC